TTGCTAGATATTCAGAGCGGGAGAAAGAGGAGGTGGGCTGGGTGGGGTGTGGGTGGATGGACATACCTGGCTCCCTGGGAATTGCACGCAGACCTAGGGTGGGCAGAGGACGCTCGTCCTACCTGTGGATGGCGCTGTCCTCACTGTCAAGGTATTTAGCCTGAAGGCTAAGCTCCCAGGGTATTTAGGGACAGACCCAAATGTCAAATAGGACCCAGGACAGAGCAGACAGAAGACAGAAGCAAAACAAAGACCGGCTTGGGGAAGCCCTCACTCACAGCAACGCGTCCTGTAGAGGCCAGGATGGGCCATGCTCTATGCGCTGGGGCCAGGTGGTTCCCCTCGGGACTACTCTGCTTCAAGCAGTCACAGCGTATGCAAATGAATGAGCAGGGCTGTGTCCTGTCAACGGAAAGGAAGCCAAACTCTGCAAAATAATTTTATTTTTTTATTTTGAGACAGAGTTTCACTTTGTGCCCAGGCTAGAGTGAGTGACGTGGTGTCAGCCTAGCTCACAGCAACCTCAATCTCCTGGGCTCAAGCGATCCTCCCGCCTCAGCCTCCCGAATAGCTGGGACTACAGGCATGCGCCACCATGCCCAGTTAATTTTTTGTATATATATTTTTAGTTGGCCAATTAATTTCTATTTTTAGTAGAGGCGGGGTCTCGCTCAGGCTGGTTTCAAACTCCTGACCTCGAGCGATCTGCCCGCCTTGGCCTTGCAAAATAATTTTAAAGAGTTTTACTCTGAGCCAAATTTGAGGACCATGACCCGGAGCCACGCCCAAGAAGCCTTGAGCAAGTGGACTCACTGTGGCAGGGTTACAGTTGGTTTTTATATATTTCAGGGAGACAGTGGTTACACGTAAAGTCATAAATCAACATATGGGAGGCATACCTTGGATTGGTCTGAAACAGTGGGCCATCTCGAAGTGGGGGCTTACAGATTACAGGTGGGTTTAAAGATTCACTGACTTGTATGTAATTGGTCAAAGACAGGAAGCTTTCTCTAAAGGCTTGGAATGTAAAGATAAGTAAGTCTGTTAACCAGAGACAAGCCACCGGACTTGGGCATATATTTGTTGTGTAAATTGAGGAACTGCAGGTGTGTCTTGCATAGCCTTAGGCCTATTAATGGGTTACAAAGGATGTCCCCAAGAAGGGAGGGGGTGTTATGAGGCATGTCTGACCTCCCTCCTAATGGCAGGCAATTTAGTTTCAGGATAGCCCCTTGGCCAGGATGGGGTCCATTGAGTCACCGGTGAAGGAAGGCGGGGGGAGGCAGGAAGGCTTAGGATTTTATTTTAGTTCACAGTTCCAATACAACTTTATTTTTTTTTTTTTATTTTTTTTTTGGGGGGCCAAACCACGTGGCTTTATTATACACTCGTGGACGAGGTTCTGGGGCCCCAAGAGCAGGGGCCCCAGAAGCCGCCCCAATACAACTTTATTTATGAATGCTGAAAACTGAGTTTTATATAATTTTTACATGTTACGAAATTTCTTTTTTGGTTCTTTTTGAACGGTCTAAAAATGTAAAACCATTCTTAGCTTAAGGGTCACACAAACACAGGTGGCAGCTGGGGCTGAGTCATTTTTGTCATGTCGTGTCAGCAGGCACAGTGGCCGGACTTGGCAGAGAGGCAGCTCAGGGTGTGACCTGTGGACCTTCCCCAGAGCCAGATCCGGGCCGAGAGGAGGGAGGATGAGGAGACCGTCAGGAGCGTCCATGGCAGTGGGAAGAAGGGGCTCCTGCCGGGGGAGGAAGCCCCCCTGGGCCATGCTGGGTGCCCTGGGAAGCCGGCTTCGCTCTGAAGACCCCTTGAGTAGCTCCCAGAATCGGGGTGCATGCAGGCCGGGGTCCGGGTGTCATCAGAACTCCTGAAATATTGTTTTCAATATAATCTGCAGCAGGAAGAGACGACACAAAAGCCTCAGAATTGGAGCTGCTCTCTCCAGGGATTAAAGAAACAGGGTGTCTTTCTTAGGCTCGTTCCTTTCTTAGGTTTTCTGGGTGTTTGTTCTTTCCACAGTTAAAAAAAAAAAAGTTAAGGCCGGGGGCGGTGGCTCACGCCTGTAATCCTAGCACCCTGGGAGGCCAAGGCGGGCAGATTGATCGAGGTCAGGAGTTAGAAACCAGCCTGAGCAAGAGCGAGACCCCGTCGCTACTATAAATAGAAAATAATTAATTGGCCAACTAATATATATAAAATTAGCCAGGCATGGTCGTACATGCCTGTAGTCCCAGCTACTTGGGAGGCTGAGACAGAAGGATTGCTTGAGCCCAGGAGTTTGAGGTTGCTGTGAGCTAGGCTGATGCCACGGCACTCACTCTAGCCTGGGCAACACAGTGAGACTCTGTCTCAAAAAAAAAAAAAGTTAATATAGGAAAGCAAACTAAAGGACAATGGCAAAGAAAACAAAAATTAAGAAAAATTTATAGAAAAGAAAAAGATATAAAAAAAGAGTTAAAAAAAGAAAAAAGTTAATACATGAATTGAAGTTGTAGGATAAAGAAGAATTAAAATTAAAATAGGAAAAAATAAAATAAACGAAATAAGAAAAAGAAGAAGGAAAAAGAAAATACGGTAATGAACTAAAACAATAAAAAAAAAAGTAATATGCACACGTTCATGGTAGAAAATGTAGATTTTTAAAATGTGGACTTTTAGTAGCACGGATATTTTTTCATATGCATACACGCACATCCAAAGGCCTAGCTACTTATGTAGTATGAAACCAGGAATGCACTAGACCAGTTGTTTCTCGTGGTTTTGCTCTCACAGAATCTAATCTGGCCGGGCGCGGTGGCTCACGCCTGTAATCCTAGCACTTTGGGAGGCCAAGGTGGGCGGATTGCTCAAGGTCAGGAGTTCGAAACCAGCCTGAGCGAGACCCCGTCGCAACGCGGGATGTGCCGCGGGCTGCACAAAGGAGCCAACACCTGGAGTTCTTGGCACCAGCAGGGCTGGGGGACCCTGAGTGCCAGTGTTGCCAGGTCGATGCCCGCCACTTGCCTTCCGGACAACTCCGCCTCCCTTCTGGGGGCAACCCCGGGTCTGATCTTTCCGGGTCTGGGCCCTGGGGCACACAGGGGGATCTGTTGCACGTGATGGGTACCTCGCGGCAGGGTTAAAGGGGAACAGGGTGGAGGAAAACAGTATATGAGAAAACCTATGCTAGAAAATGCTCTTTAGGAATAAAAAACAGCAAGAGACAAACTGAGAAATCGGAATGCAGACGGGGCCACCTGCCAATCTAGCACATGTGGGACGGACACCACGAGCAAAAGAGTGAAAAAAAAACAAAGGAAAGGGAAAAATCGCTTGAGGCCAGGATTGGGGAGGTTGCTGTGAGCTAGTGTGCGTGGCCCACCGACAAACATCACAGCCAGGAGCATAGGCAGAGCTGACTACTGGGTCATCAAAAAAAAAAACAAAAAAAATTAAAATGGGACTCCAGTATGTCCAAGGAAGATTCTGACTTGATTGGCAAAGAAGGGCATTGGGCAGTTTTGTTTAGCAATTGGATTACATGATCTGGACAAAAAAAGGTCAAGTGGTGCAAAGACAAAATCAACAAAACAAAAAAAAAACAAAAAAAAAAAAACAAAAAACCGCGATCACCACTGGACCGGACATTCTACCCACGTAGGGGGTATTGACCTTCACCGTGTTTATCAATGAACGCTCCAAGATGCTTCCTTGTTAATCTTATTGCCGAAACTTTCGGAAAACAACCTACAGCCTATCCAGGAGGGGGAATTCGAATTCCAATGAACATACTAATCAGGGCAAATAAAGCATCCATATTTGTGAAGAAACTAACTTAGCGGTATGTGAAAACTTGATTCAGGATACCTAGATTTCTTTTTTTTTTATTTTTTATTTTTTGCACCGGTCTCCTTTGGGATTCGCCCCCAGCCAGCTAGAGTGCAAGTGCCCGTCAGACATCCGGCTCACTAGCCACACCCTCAATATCCGGGGCTCAAAGCGACACGAATCCTCAACACCACATGAACACTCAAGAAAACATCACAACGAGTGCTGCCAGGAACAAACCAACCACACAAAAAATACAGGGCTGGACAAAATACGCCACAACCTCAGGAATAAGTTTTTCGCAAAACCACCAAACACCTGTAAATTAATAAATCTTTTAGTTGCCAGTCAAAAAATTAAATTACAAAAACTATATTCCTATTTACACCTTGAGTAGAGATAGGGAAAAACCCAAAGGCTAATAGCTCAGGCTGTGTATTCAAGAAAAACAATCACAAAAACCTGCCTTGAGCGATCCGCCCGCCTCCAGGACCTCCCAGGAAAAAGTGCTACGGATTAACACAAGGGTGAGCACAAAGCCCAAAACACAACCAACACCCGGCCACGATCCAGATTTTCGTGGGACAAACACGACGAACAACAACAAACACTAAAACGGATTAGTGCCATTACACTGGAGTCATTAAAAAACATACATAAGTAAAGCAGAACTTCTGGATATGGAAAACACGTGAAAAATTGCCATATGACAAAACACTATCGTGCACTACTAAAAAAGGCTCCCTACCTCTCCTTCATCACACCAACCCTCCTACCACACTTCTCCCTTCCCAACCCCCACCATGACCGCTGTGCATAATTCTTCTTTTTTACTCATTGTTTCAGTCTCCACCTCTCCCACCCCTACTTCTTCTTTTTCTTCCTCTCTTCTCTCCCTCTACCCTCCTCTCCCGACACCCCTCTATTTTATTTTCTCTCCTCACCCCACCCCATTTCCATTTCTAATTCTCTTTTATCCTACAACTACATTCATTATTAACTTTTTCTTTTTAATCTTTTTATATCTTTTTTGTTCTATAAATTTATCTTAATTTTGTATTCTTTGCCATTGTCCCCATCTCTCTGCTTCTCACTTCTCCCCTCCTCCGATAACTTCTTTTCTTTTCCCCTTGAAGACCGTCCCCTCGCTCTGTCTCGCCCGCGCTCCGCCCACGCTCGCCAAGTGCCGCTCACCCGCGCGCTCACGGCCCCCCCCTCGCCTCACAGCAACCTCAACCATACTCCTACGCAGAAGACTCCCACCGACCAACTCCCTCCCTGCCCATCGGAAACTACCCCCCCTCCCCCCTGAGTACGCTACGCGAGCAACACATACACGGCCATGCACACACACCCCCCCCTCCAATGCCGGCTAAACAAAGTTTAACTGCCTGAAAATACAATCTATTAGCTTGACCCCACCACCCCGCCCACCTCACCCACATTATTTCTCAAAAATATAAGATAAACAGCGACGGAAAAAAGGTCCACTTGCTCAAATGCTCCAGCTACGGAAAACTCTATATAAAACCACACCTAACCTGACATCTGCCAAAAAAGGACCATTGCCTACCACAGATAACAAAAACCCAACCCCAAAAAGTGCATAGGATTACAGAGGCGTGAGAATCCCCCCCGCCACCACCACCGCAGCCCATCATCAACCCTTTTATATATTATCCTCCCTAACTGTTGGCCACCACAGACCCCACCCCACTCAAACCCAGACAAACCATTACCGAACACGGAGGGAACTAGACCACTACGAACGCCCCACCCCCCCACACACACCCCAGTATTCTATAAATCACCCTCCTGCGCCAGCCACACACACACACACCAACCCGCGTGGGCACCGAGCAGGCTCCCCCTCTGCCAGGCACCTTTTGCTCCGCCTCCCGCTCCTCCTTCCACCCCCTGACCCCACCCTGCCCAGACTCTACAACACCCATTATTGAAAAACAATAATATCAGGTTCTGATGCACACACCCCAAACACCCAACCCCAGAGAACACCCCAGGACAATCCTGCACTCGCCCCCCCACCCCACCACGATTCTGGGACGC